GTGTGTGTGTGTGTGTATATATATATATATATATTATATATATATGTATGTGTGTGTGTGTGTGTATGTATATATTTCAAAAGCATATTTTAAAAGGAATATTTATCCATTTTTATATTGTTTATTATAATGTTAAGATTCCCAAATCCACTTGGAGCATACAGACTATTTATTTATTTATTTATCTATTATCTAGTTATTTGTATTTTTGTATGATCTAGTATGTGTATTTAGTTATTTTTTGTCAAAGTAGATTTTTATAAATAGATTTATAAAATCATCCATTTAATTAGTTGTTGATCTTATGAAAATTATTATCTGAATATCTGTATTTGCCAGGATTTCAGTAGACCTAATCTATATGATGTATTTGTAATTCTTTGTTATACTGTGGGGCCTAAAAATCAATTGACATTAAAATCTAAGAGATTTCATATCTAAATAAATAACAAAATAATAAGTTTAAAATTTAGAAAATTTAAAAACAGAAATGTTTGGAACTAATACGGACATAATACATCATACTTAGAATTTTTCATAGCCCTTCCTTATGTTGTGTTCTTTTTCCTTCAAGTCTACACAATGTCCAGAAGATGGCGCCATAAACTTGTGTTAGTTCTTGGCCCTGCTTTTACTAAAGAGCCCAGATGTTAGTATGTCTGAGATCCACACGTTTTTGCCCCACATTGTGTTTAAGAAATTTATAGGCTTGTTACCTGTAGTGGCATTAAACTATTAAAAGATGCTTGTTTGGTTTTTCAACATATGAATTTCTCTTATCTAGAGAGATCATTGGAGTCTTTCTTTCAGCCTGTGAAGTTGTTGCCTGACCTGCATTCAGCAGTCATGTTTCCCTATTGGACTTTTGTGATACAGAACAAAGGTACTTTGTTGGATGATGTAATGGCACGCCTCAGTCATATGATACACTGTGTGTGTATATAAAATATGTAATCTCTATGTAATTAACATATACATTGCTGGAAGTAAAAATACAGTTGTAGTTGTTCTGTTGGTTCTGGCATATCCAGGTGATAATGGTCATGAAATCTTTTTGTTCTCAAAAAGAAAAGAAAAATAGATTATACTTTGATAAAGAAAATTAACAACAAAAAAGTGATGATGATAATAAATTATTTTCATGCACTTTTAGTGCTTGTAGATTGTAGATTCACTAAAATAATTATTGGTGTACAGTCAGGGTACATGATATTTTAATTTGACCTAGTTCATTTTGTGGTCACCTAGAACTTTACCATCTTTAGTATTTTTGTTTGATGGATATTTTATTATTATTACTATCATTTTTTTGTTTTGTTTATTTTTTCTTCACAAAAAATAGTTGAGATCGAACAATAAATGGTCCCTTGCTGTAATGGAGAAAAATAATGATATTATCTAAATTATGAAATACAATAATTATACTTTGATAAAGAAAATTAACAACAAAAAAGTGATGATGATAATAATAAATTATTTTCATGCACTTTTAGTGCTTGTAGATTGTAGATTCACTAAAATAATTATTGGTGTACAGTCAGAGTACATGATATTTTAATTTGACCTAGTTCATTTTGTGGTCACCTAGAACTTTACCATCTTTAGTATTTTTGTTTGATGGATATTTTATTATTATTACTATCATTTTTTTGTTTTGTTTATTTTTTCTTCACAAAAAATAGTTGAGATCGAACAATAAATGGTCCCTTGCTGTAATGGAGAAAAATAATGATATTATCTAAATTATGAAATACAATTGTAAGTACACATAATGGTTGCATTAGTTATGTTGAACTTATTTCCTCCTGGTGTTAACTTTTTCTGTTTTACACAGTATTAAGAATTTGAAGGGAAATGAGCTTAATTTTTGTGAAAATAATGTCATAAGGTAAAACCTGTAATGATCCTCATACAGGCTTTACTGTCTTCATGCAAAATGTAATGTCTTATTTTATCTCTTTTTTTTTTTTAAGGTGGCCTGAACATTTTGCCTATTCACCCTCATCTTAGAACTCATTTAGTGCTATTTAACAAATTTACTTTCACAACCAAATTGATATTTTTTGGTCCTTTTTGATGTTATCTGAGCATCAGTGACTGTTTGATCCAGTTTTGATGAAGTGATTGAGGTCGCGCGTTTAGTTCTCGTTGTCCAGCAGAGAGTGAAGGGTAGAATTATTTAATTATTTGATGTTAATTCAGTCCCACTCTTGTGGAGTCACTCTCTCCTAATGGAGCAGTCAGTCCATCAGGGATATGGAAAGGATACATAAAACTGTGATGAAAATATTCAGTATAAATTTATGGAATTGTACGTTTTTACTGGCCTCTAATGAATGACAGGTGACCCTATCGCCAGCTTATTTGGAGCTGCAAAAGACCGTTACTCACCGAACAAGCCTTGTCTTTACGAAGTTCTCGTGATTTGTTTCTGATGTCTGCTTTGTCTAGTATCTCACAGACTTGTGTGAGTCACAGTTCGACCCCAACATCTCTCTTTGTGTCTCTCTCAGTGGGAGGCAGGACCACGTGTACTCTACCCCCTCGCAGGAAAGTCAGTTGTTATAACTTCAAGCAGCGGGCACTTTTATGGACCTTTGAACCGGTCCGCTGACCACTATTTTATTCGTGTTGTAAAATATCATACTTTGACCCTCTTACTTTTTATTTCGAAGGTACTAACTCAAGTTAATTGGACTGTTTTGTAAATCACTGGATGTCTACGATGTGTGTGTATATGTAATAAAATATACAAAATATGCTATATATATATATGAGCAAGTTACATAAAAATATTAGATGATATTAAATATTTATATATTTTATATATACATCTAAAATAAGAGTAAAATCTTCATATATATCATATACAATAGTATTTACATGATTTTCTTAGGTACATTATGCAACACCATGGTATTACAATAGTATATTTCCAGAAAACCTGGTATTATCATGGTACCATGTTCAAAAAACACAGTAGTACTTGCGTTAATAGTCATTTCTGTGAATATATTGCTGTCAATAATGGTTGTTGCCATAGCTGTTTTATTGTCAGTTTGAAATTTACCACATCTGACTATAAATCAACAATTTATGCTCAATTTGAGCATAAAAGCATGATGGGCTTTGTATTTCAGTGTTTACACTTGAATAAAAGCCGTCATTTAGACAATCCCTCATACAAGTGTGTGTGTGGCGGTTTTCCTGCAGCTATTTACACAGCCAAAATATCATTTTGTCGTAATCAGCTTTGAAACACGTCTGTGTAGGATGTGAGGGAAAGGGCTATCAGTGTATTTAATCAGTGTGATTTCTTGTGCATTTGAAATAACGCACCTGGCTTCCATTAGTAAAAGACGTACACTGCATTTCTCTATAGAAAGTTTTACAACCATTGCAGAAAGTGCTAAATGTGTTTGACGGATTGTGCAGCGTGCACAAATTGAAAAGATCCTGAAATAAAATTACATTTGCTGCCCTGAAGCTGTAACCAGCTATGACAATATAAATGTCAGGGTTGGGTCAGTGTACAGTGATGTTATGTTTCATATCATCTTCCAATAGTTTTGGTGTGTCGCCATTTATTCACAAACTTTCAAATGCACTTAGCCAAAAAATTAATAACATGTTATAATTCTGGTACGTTAAAATGAATTCATAATAATGTTACTTTTATAAAGAGTGGATGTCATTTAAAAAAAATCTTGTCTTATGTTTATCACGTTTTGACATATTGTCATAAAAGAAAACGTTCAAGAGACTGTATTTTCTTCTTCTGTGTTTCAGTGTGTTGCGTTCAGTGCTTTATTACGTTATTGTTCCACCGTCTCTTCATTGCCATTCTCCGATTTGTTTATATGATAAACACTTTTACGTTAGATTCTTGTTATTTTATTGATTTTATTCTTAAAATTGAAATATAATTCAAACATACATTTGGACAAAAAAATCCACAGGTTGCTTAAAACATTTTACAGAACAATTAACTATTTGTTTTTTAAACAGTTAGTCTAACTGTCCGTTAACTTGCACAGAAACACAAATTTCTCTTGCTATCCAAATGTTTTGCGTGCCATGAAACAATTTTAATTGGCTTCAAATGGCTATAGAGAAATTTGAACACACCTAACTCTACACCTTAAGTAAAACTTATAATTTTTATAATTAAGACAAAAGGATATTTGTTGAATTTGTGAACTTTTTTTCTTCTTCTAATTTTCAGGATATCATCAAAAAGAGTTTTTGTCCGAGTTTGCTAACTTCTGGACATATGTTCAGTAAATTTGTCTATGTTAGCTACACACACACACACACACACACACACACACACACACACACACACACACACGTACAAATACACACACTATTAACTGTCATCCAGATTCTGAAGCCCCCCTCACTAATTTGGGAAATTGTTTTTATGCCTAACATGAACTTAATAAAATATACCAAATCCACTTACAATCATAAATGTGAACAGCATTGCCCAGGTGCACACGAATACACACTCACATACCTCACCCTGCCCTGTCCCCTCAATCGCCACACAATGGCATTGTAATTGTGCATGTCTTTCATGATTGGGCGGGTTTGAACTGTGAGTCAGATCTGTACCTGCTTAGGGCCGTGAAACCGCATTTGAGACACGAAAGGAAACGGCCAATTCATACAGGTGATGTGACAGGTGTAAATGTGTGCAGACGTGCCTGTTTATGTGTGAAAGGTGAAGCAGTACTGATATTCGACACGAGGTCTTAAGATCCCAGTATCCTTTTCCCTCTATTTTAATTCAACATTTTTTTCATTATTGGGATAAATATTCTCTTTGTGCTAATACATGGACAAAAGCTCTTTTTATAGCTGGAGAAACGTGTTTGTGGGATGAATGAAACCAGCCGTTTTCATTGATTAATTTCTCTCATTCACCAGAAGGACACTGACGTGACACTCATCCCATGACTGACTTACTGCTAATAAAACAGAACAGCTGCTGAAACAACTAGCAGCTTAGCCTTTGATTTTGGCATAGCGTTAATATCTTAAGAAAAGCTCTTGATTATGTAGAACAAGAAAGTCTGCAACATTTTTGATTGATAAAGGGTCATAGGATTCTGTAAGAGGATTTTGCATGTTGCATGACAAAACATTGCCAACTTTCATTGAAAATGAATGTTCAATTGCTGCAAAGTTTATTATTTTTTTTAGATTTTTTTTTAAAGAAATATGTTAGAATCATCTGTACCATCTGTATTATAGATTATCTCGTTTACATCCTGTAGTCTTTTAAAACATTTTTCATTAACTACATTTAAGGTTTCACTTGTAAACATTAGTTAAATAAATGAGTTAACATGAACGAACAATGAACAATACTTCTACAATCTTTGTTAAATCTTTGTTAATGCTAATTTCAACATTTGCTAAAATGTTTATAAATAAATATGTAATGTAATATGTTAAATCAAAAGATTCAGTAAATAGTTGTATTTCATTTAATAGCATTAACCAATTTTAATAGATGCTTTAAAAATATTACTTCTTGTTAGTTTGTTAGATAATGCATTATCTAATGTTAACAAATAATACCTTATTGTAAAGTGTTATTCATTTTTCGGTTGCAGTTCTTGTTCTGTCAATTATTGATGTCACCTGCAGACCGTTGTCTTGAAATATTTGTAAGAACATAAAATCCAATATCTAGAGAACCTGTTTGTTGCAGTTCTGAATAAGAGAGTTGGCAGCTTTGTTCATGAAGAGGCCAATAAATTATTAATTAGAAAGGCGTTGGTGTTCGTGCCGCTTGATGTCTTTCTAGAGCGGGACACTCCCTTCCCTCCTGACAGATCAAAACAATTTAGGGCATAAATGGCTGGGCTTTTAATTGTTTTGAAATTTTTCAATCAGCCTATGTCATCAGTGATGGATGCAAGACCAAATGTGTCTGTAACCAGTCAATCAATGCACTTTTGTCTTATTTTGTGCCACGAATGGTTATAATAATTGTTTGAGGCCAGTCACCTCATTGTTCTTGGGCCGGGCAGCATGTGTGTGTTCTGGTGGCATTGCAGTGGGTGGAGGAACTAGAATGAGCTCATGTGGTTGAAAATCCCACATTGATAAATCATGGACAAACCCCCACGCATGCACACACACCCAACCACACATTATTTCAACCCAGGGGACGCTGTCTCATAGTCACCAAAACACACACATACACACTGTCTCTCACTCCAGATTGCAAACTGAACATTCCCCATTACCGGCAATTGATCATGCAGTCCAAAGTGAACTGCATGAAGTTTTGTGAAAATGAGTTTCACAGAAGCTTTGTGGGTGTCACAGATGACCTCATTGATAGTCTGAAGTGATCGTCCAAGCCTGATATAGAACTTAAGTAACATAAGAGAACAGCATAATGAAATGAAATCAAATTCATTTGGAAAATCTTTATGAAGGGATTGTTTGTTGATGTAACTAATTGGTTGAAATAATTCAAAGAATTGTATCTAATATATTTCTTTTTTTATTTATTAAATATAATTAAATATTAAAATATTATATATATATGTGCGTATACTGTATGTGCGTGTGTTTAATTGTATTAAATAATGTAAATGTAAATAATCAATACATGACTCCTCTGAAATACAACAAAATTATGTTTTGTCATAAGTTATTAGTTATTGTGTATTGTCTGTTATATCAACATATTTTAGAAGTTGTAGCAGTTGTAGCAGTCTACTTTGAAAACAGCAGACTGATCCAGTTATAGTGAATATGTAATAATACATAAAATATTTAATTACAGAACATATTTTTTACCTATATATATATATATATATGGTATAAAAATAGTTTTTGTTGATTTGGCCTGTTTTATAGGACAGCCAAGTGTAGACGGGGGAGTGGGAGTGGGACATGACCCAAGTCAGACTCAATCCTGGGTCACTGGGCCAACAACTCTTATGCATGAGCATGTGCCCCACAGCTATGACATTAAATAATGTTTTTTCATTTGAATAAAAGAGGTATGTTAAGCATTATATAATGCTAATTTGTTAATGACATGTTTGTTTTTCTTATTATACATGTCCTGTACAAAAAAATTTTAATTGCACATGTGGGCAGGCATTTTCTTCTCCTGTTTCCTTTGTGATTAAAAACAAACATTAGAAAAAAAAATCTGATGGGCTTAATACAGAAAATGATTTGCAGATTAGTAATTATTCACCACTTTCATTTATCATAGCTAAACATCAGTTGAGCCCAGCAGTTAGAGAACAGCCAGTTGGCAGTTCACAGATCATAAGGGAGGGTTGCCAGACCCCAGGTCCTTCCCTCCTGTGTGGCGAAGTTGGCTGCTTCTTTCCTCTGTTTGAATGTGTGTACACTTTACTAGTGATCTTGTCTGTCTTTATTGCACGGCCAGGGTTTCTGTGGGCCGCCACAAGAATGTCCGCTATTTTCTTTCCATTATCCCATGGCTTAGGCCTCTGGACCGGTGTTCGGTGCAGACGGGCTATTGTGGAAAAAAACACAAGTATTGGCCCATTTTGTAGACTTTACAGCTGCTGACATAATTCAAGTTTTTTTTCCCCTGCTGTGGAACGTCAGGGAGGGTAAACGGCTCGTTATCCATACACCCCTCTTGTCTCTTTTTTCCTCACATCGACTCTCATTCACTCCCCT